TTTGTGAGATGTAGGTCATATGGTTAGGCTATCTTTGTTAAGAAAGGGACAAAAAACTTCCAAGTCCTTCCTAGAATGGAATGAAAAATTTGATTATGATGTGCATTCATTTCCACACTTTCACATGCCCAATATAATAGGGACTAGTCCTTTCTTATTGCTTCATCCTCCCAGATGAAGAAAAAGAATGTCACTCAAACTCAGTGTTATAAAGTTATTTTCATTCCCAAGTCCTGATAATAAAGTTACAAAATACAGTCAGAATAACTTAATATAAATATTACATCAGAATCAGTGAAAATCCAAAACATCAAAAAGACTTTTCATTATAATAGTGTTGCTCAATTTGTTCTGATGTTTAGGATATTTTTGCCCAGATAGAATAAGGACTTGTTGGCAAATATAACAAACGTATAGCAATTGCGAAAGAATCATTTTTATTAAACCTGTTTGTTAGTCTGATCAATGATGTTAATATCCCAGTAAATGCAAAATTCCATAATCTTTCACACCAATAACTCAAAAGTCATTTTTACTGTGCATGAGCCACCAACAAAAGGAAATGGATTTGATTATCTATAAATTAGTTTATGTGACATCTGTGATATATTTTAACTAGCTTACTCATTGGTGGTGGTGGGGGTTGTGGTAACAAAGAGTGCCACCTGAGTCTGGAGCCCAAAGATGTGGAGAGTTGGATGGCATACAAGTTTAATAGTTTATTATTCTTTACTTCATCTTTGCTTTTATCCTTGGCAGTGTTACTGGCGAGCATATGCTGTAGGGGATGTAGAAAAAATGGCACTGGTGAAGCTAGCAAAGTGAGTATGGCATTGTATTTCTCTTGCCTTACTTCCTCTATTAAGACTGCAATATTTTAAATATGGAATGTTTCTGTTTTAAAAGGAAAGAGAAAGTGGGGCTTGTAAAGGCATGTGGGCAGCAGATGTGTTACATCATTGTACTACGGGTATTTTTCCCTAGAAATGCAGTTCATGTGTGATTAACTTTCTGAGCTTCTGCCTAAAAGCCCCTTGCAGGGTGAATCAAGTTCTACAGCTTTGTACTCAAAAGTATAATGTTGAGTAGGAACCTCCTGCTCACCTGATCTTTTTATCATCAGCCAAGAGCATCCTCTTACTATTTGTGTCCTTTCTTAGACTTCATGAGCAATTGAATGAATCGGAACAAGCTGCCCAGTGTTATATCAAATACATCCAAGATATCTATTCTTGTGGGGTAAGTGAGTTCTAAATAAATTTGAGAGGAAATATAGGAAAATCCCCAAAGTCCTTACAGGTAATCCTTGGCCTAGGATGGAATTGGGATTGGATTTTCTGTTGTAAACTGTGATGTCACATGACCGCATCACTTTGCAGCTGCAGTCCCAGTAGTCTCAGTTGCCATCATAACCCCAGGATTGTGTGGGTGGGAATCCCAGGCAAGCAAACTGGTCACTACTACAGGCAGGTGCTAGGGAGCAGGGAGGGGAGTACCATGGGTGTGTGGAAGGTGCCCGTAGTGGGCATGGGGATGGCTGTAAATGCAGGTGGCTCAGATGTTGATCACATAATCATGAAGGTGCTGAGATGGCCAGAACTTTGAAGACTCATAAGTCATTTTTTTCAACTCTAACTGAAACATTTAGTTGTGACTTTGAATGGCTGCTGAACAAATGGATGTAACCCAAGAACTACATGTATTGTATCCCAGGAAATAGGGGAGAACTTGGAAGTAAGCACCGCCTTCCGCTACTTGGCTCAGTATTACTTCAAGTGTAAACTCTGGGATGAAGCCTCAGCCTGTGCCCAGAAATGCTGCGCCTTCAACGATGTGAGTAACAGCTCCAGTTTAAGTGAGTTTTTCACTGGGGCTTTATACCTACTTCATACCTATCCCCATATGTATGTATACAACATTAATATATGAGTCCCTTCTCCCCCTTCATTTGTCGCTAGGCCAAAAGCTGTATCCTCCATGCTTGGTGTAATTCATATCTAAAAGTAATCTGGCACAGCTACTGTTTTAACTTAGGATGGTAAAAAATAATGCCTTGTGATGAGATAGGTGGCAAATAAATTTAATAAATAATTATTTAGTAGAGGTGGCCCTTATTATTTGTAGGAATTCCATTTCAACCTAATAAGTAGATAACAAAACTGCAGCCAACGAGATCTTGGAAATAATTTATTCTATAGAGTGTATGAATTCTACAGAATTTATTCTACAAGTACTTCTTCCCAATAATTTTTTGGTTTATTCAGACATTTGTGTATTTGCAATTTGCAAACAACTTTTGGCTGTTAAAATGGTGACAAATATAACAGAGCTTACTACTTTTCTTTCTTATCAGAGAATGAAGTTCTTTAAATTAATACAGACAGATCCCAGAAAGCATATAGGCCATTACAAGAAATATTCATGTAGCTGCCTCCTCCATCACATATGATCAATACAAAAGGCAGCATATAGCTGTCTCAGTATGTTGCAGAATTCACCTTTGCTTAGCTGCCATTCAGCTGTTTAATGGACTAAGGAGATTGATACTGTAATATACTCATATGCACAAGAGATTTACCATTACTGTATATCCTCTTTTCCATCTATTGTGTGTGTACATTCTTTTTTTTTAATATAAAGCATTACCTATAGTTATAATTTAGTGTGATGTGCCTGTGCTCAGGAACATCCATATAACTTCTTTTCTATCAGCATCCTCCCTTTTTCCCCCCTTTCCTCATGCATCTGGCTTTTATTTCTAGACAAGAGAAGAAGGGAAGGCTCTTTTGCGACAAATCTTACAGTTACGAAATCAAGGGGAGACATCAAATACAGAGACGGCAGCCACACCTTTCCTACTTCCTTCTTCACTCTCTGCCAACAATACTCCAACCCGCCGAGTATCCCCACTGAATTTGTCTAATATTACACCATGAACTGAACTACCTTTCTGTACTGGCTCAGTCGAGAGGACGATCCTGTTGTAAACTGGGTCTTTCTCTTGAATACTGCCGTTCTAGGAAGGCTTGTGTATTCAGTTCGGGTGACTGACATCACGTTGCTGAGGATGACTGTCTATTGTATTGTAACCATAAAATGGTAATAGCTCAGACAGTGCAGTGAGCTGAATTCACTGTACATCTCAGTCTTCTTACAAGTCTGGCACCTGCGAGAGAGAGAACCTCTCTTTACACTGGCTGTGGGGTTGCTTTCTGTCCCTTTCTTCATCACATGCCTTTCTGAGGATGTTGCAGTAAGATGCAAGTTATCCGTTTATCAGACTTGCATCATATTTGAAACCGTATCACATTTATTTGAAACTGAAAAGGAGTGAGTGAGCACCTGACTTTGTTTTTTTATTATGTGACTAATAAAAGTTTATCTTAAAAGATAGCAACAAGATAGAGAACGTGGATGGAAAAGCGAATAGGTCACATCTAATTTAATGCTAGGCTGAAACTGGCAACATAAAGTGATGAGTCTATTTTATGCCAGCAGGTGCAGTGTTGCTGCTTTCCCACACAGGCTCTAGAAATTGTAAAGACTATTTTAATTAAATATTTTGTTAAGAATCAGGAAATTACTTGAACAAACCTGTTCATTTCTTTGACTTAGCAGCTTGTAAATGCTCAGTTTTTAAACAATGACTATGTTGTTATAGCTTAATGATTGTAATCAGTCTTTAAATGTCAGGACTGTTAGAATTCAGGAATCATAAAACAATTTTGTGTGGTTAAGAATCATGTTATCATTACCGTTTATCAGTATATTTTCAAGAAATCAGATTTATGGCTTCTGACATGTTTCAGAGATGTTGAGACTTCAGTATTCATATGTAGAAGTTTATCCTCCTCAAGGAAACTCAGCGTGGGAAACAGCCTTCCAAATTTATAGCAGATAAGTCAGTATCAGCCAATTGCTTGGATCATCTACTTATAAAAAAATTCTTATAAAGTAGAAGTAATCTAGCTATCCCATACTTCTATAATTGTAAAATAATCCAACCCACTGTTGTACTGTATGGTAATCATTACATTTGGTGCCTTGTTATATTAGTGGAAACTGAAGCAAGACTGCCACCCTTTGAATAGTAGATCTATTTTTTTCCACATTAAAATCAATAAATTTGTGCACAAGGAGGTTCCTGCAAAATAGAGAACCAGAGTTGTGTTTGTGTTGGTTGTTGTTCTAGAAGTATCCCTCCTTTAGCCTTGGATTATTATTCCAAGGCTAAACTTGGAATAATGCCTCACATGATTATCAAAATCTAAATATCTTTTGCTATTGAAATGAGGTATTTATCAAAGTTAGTGTATACCCATAATTTTAACAAATGCCAGTTGCTCAGGTGAAGCTGAAGCCCATTGACAGGTGCAGGACAATGGCTACCACAAAAAAAGACCTTTCAAATATAAAAGAGTCCCCTGAGAAACGTCCCAAGACCTGAATAGCTACATGGGAACGCTTGCACTTCTGGTCGGCATTATTTGTGAGTTGTAATACATTGTCACACTAGCTGTTGCCAAAGCCTGTAACTTTTTTTTTTTACCAAAACTGGGTAAAAGCTGTCTGCTATAAATCTATAGGAGCATATAACACTGCCTAATGTTGACATTAATGTTGACAGAAGACGGTTTTCTAAAAATGCCCTCACTTTCTGAGGACCATTTGCCAAGTACATGGGAAAAGGCCTCCTGTGTTATTCCCAAATTAAAGGAGACAAATCTTTGGGAGATGTGCTGAGGCTTCACTTCAGCTTTTAGGGAAGAAGCCAATGTTTTCCTTTCAGTAGTTGAAAGAAAGGTTGTGATCCCTCTGAGCACATTTGAATTGGGTATGGCCTTGTTAACCACCTTGAATGCCTTAGATAGAAAGAAGATATAAATTGTAAGAATATTTTGCAATATTCCCCCCTCCAATTCCTCTAGAAGGAACTCTATCTGGCCAATATTTTTAAACACCTCAATTGTATCGAATCCAGTCTACACAATTCTATAACATTTCAGAAGTGAAAACAACGCATTTATTATCTGTTTAACATAGATAAAAATATATGTGGTTCTGCATGCTGTGTAACATTTTTTTAAAACAAAAATAAAACAGACATAACATAAATCTAGGTTACATAACCACTGGAATAGCAGCTGGCCTGGAAGAAAAAACATGCATAGTAATCATCTTTGGGAAGCCAAAGGTGTTTTAAAAAAACCTCTCAGGCCGTATCTCACTAAATATAGTATAATTCATATACATTAATTGGATCCAAAGGTAATTGTACTTGAGGCCGACCTGTTTAAGGCACTTGGTCACAATCCTCTTTTAAACTCTTAAAAGCTTTCCTGTATGTGGAGCCAACTCACTGATGGTAAAGGCACTAATTGGCTGCCCTGCCTGACAAGGCCTGGGTTCAAAGCATTCAGTATTTTTTGCTAAAGGGCATTGGTTTAAACTCTGGAGTTCCTCGGGCACGTAAGATGCGAGTATAAGGGCTCTCCGTCGCTGCAGGCTGAGCCACTGTCCGAGTGAGGAAGTTGTGCAAGAATGGCTTCTTGATGGGAGGCTGACTCTTGGGCTGCAAGTTTTCATTATTTGCAGAGAAGCGTTTTTTCATAGAAGCAGGTGCCGCCACGTGTGCTGCAGCCTGGAGCTTCTGTACAGTCTGATATTGCTCTGCAATACAGGCAGCTTTCCTCCGCATATCCAGCTTCACCAGTATCATGTTATTCTGAAGTTCAGCCAAGGTCTGGTCCTAGAAAGAACATCCAGCCAAAAGATGGTGATAGTGATTTATCCAGACCAGTGGTCCTGCCAATCCAGCTGCCTCCTAGCTCTATGAACTGAAAGTGACACACTAATTTGTGCCTCTTCCAGGCTAACTAGCACCATTTTGATCAGCCAGAGACCTGCTCAAAACTGCATGAATAAACAGCCTCATCTCCATAAGATCTGTTGATTGACTTTGGGTTTGGAATGCAAAGTGTTACAGTGATACCTTGGTACTTGGTGTTAATTGTTTCTGGGAGGTGCAGCAGGTACTAAAAAGGACGAGTCACAAAACAAAGTACACGATTTACCATGTGACCCTTTGTTTCAGCAGGGAAGAATTTTGTCCGCCCTCTCGCTCCTTTTGCAGCGACCTTCCCAGCATGGCTGACTTCCTGTCTATTCCCCAAAGCTTTTCATGCCAGTAAATAAGGGCTTGTGGCAGTCCTGTCTTCTCAAGGAGTTTTTCTCTTTAGTACTGTACTTGGTAAAAGCATTCCCCAGCCCCCCCACCAATTAAAAGAAAATCTAATTTATTGGGCTGCTGCCTCTGCTTCACCATTTTACATTTTCTTTATGCCGAGGGATTCCATTTTGCAATTTGCTTATGCTATAAGGCAGGGGTGGGCAAATGTGGCCCTTTTACAACCTGTGGACTTCAACTCCCAGAATTCCTGAGACAGCCAAGCTGGCTCAGGAATTCTGGGAGTTGAAGTCCACAGATCATAAAGGGGCCATATTTGCCCACCCCTGCTATAAGGCAGTGTTCCTCGGCCAGGCGAAGATCTGCGGACTTCAACTCCCAAAATTCCTCAGCTGGCAAGGCCAGCTGGGGAATTCTGGGAGTTGAAGTCCGCACATCTTCGCCTGGCCGAAGTTGAGACACACTGCTATAAGGTTTTCAGCAAAGGATAAAAGCAGCCTATAAAAACAAAGTGTAATCCAAAAAAAGAGCCTCACAAAGTAGCTAGATTCAACAGGCCTTTCCATACCTGCTTGACCAGGATACTGTCACACTTATTGAGGGCTTCGCGGAGTTTCCCAGCACTTGTGCGGTGACAACATGCTCTTTCGGCTGACTGGAACAGCTCACCAAGATTCAGCAGCTCTGAACGTAGCATCCTCACGTTCTGAGAGAGCAAGGAAGAGTCACATAACCAAGTAGAGAAAGACGAGAGCAGAAAGCTTTGATTATAAAGGGCAAGCTTCCCACCAGCGGAGAAGAGGAGCTAGAAAGAATACAGGTAGTCCTTGAGCTAGGACCAATCATTCAGCGATCATTTAAAATTACAGTCGCAAAACTGAACAAAAGGGGTTTACAATTGGCCCACAAAACTGCGAATGCCATCACAGTCACTCAGGCATCCAGTTTGTTACTTCAACGTCACGGTGAGCTGCAGTCACGTGATTGTCACTTGCAACCTTCCGTGTGGCTTCCCATAATATAAGTCAATGGGGAATCCAGAAGGGAAGGTCACAAGTCGCTCTTGTAAGTTGCTCCCACTGCTTTTTCTCCCTAGGAGTTCCACTACACAGAACACGATCCCAGAGAGCCCATGCCAGCCTGCAGGGCCTATCCACGGCCTAACCAAAATGCCCAACCAAATCACATCCACACTCCTTCACATTCCTTGCTCGGGACTCCAGCTTCTACCCACTTAACAACCCATACTGTCCTGGGGTGGTGATGGCAACCTGGACTGCCAGAATTGCTATTGGTAAGTGATGTGGTCACATGACATTTCATTTTATTACTGCATCACTTAATGACAGCAATCCCACTCTCAGGTACTGTTGTAACTCAAGAACTACCTTGGTCAGCAACATCCAAAAGAAAAGAAAATCTAATTTTCTTTAGCAAGCTTTTCCTCCCTCTGTTAAAGTTACCTTTTGACCTTCTCCTAGTTTCCGGTCTAAATCAGCAGCAATGGGCCTTGCTGAAGGTGGAGGCTCCAACATTTTTCGATACTTAAGCAGTTCTGTAGGAAAACAGGGCCAAGTGCAAGAAGAAATTAAGCCTAGCAAATGAATTGCTAATGAACATGGTGGCTTCCAAATCAAGACCAAGCTGTGAAAGATAGAGATGTTCCCTGAGAAATATCAAATCTCTCTTGCTTCTTTTCCACAAAATAAAGCAGACTCACTGAAATTAGATGTGAGGAGATTAGAGATGATGATGAAAATAATTATTTGTTTTTAAAGCTATCATATACCTATACAGTGATGGTCTTACTCAAAGGAAAGCCACTAGTGTCACAGGACACAATTAAGAGGACTAAATAACACAGGACACGGGATAATTTAACATTGGGCAGATGTACATCAATTTTCACAACACTACAATAATTAAGGCAGTTTGACTTTCTCCAGATATATGGTCTGATCTCCATGTGAAATGACAAGAAGAGGGCCTCACCTTTGGTAGATGTACTCAGCTCTGCCTGGCACTTCTCTAGTGTATATTTCACCTCCTGCAATTCGTGCTGCATAGATGTGATTCGTGTGGATCTACGAGAAGGTTCTTCCATATCTTGTCTCTTGTCTGCTTTGGAATTTTCTTGTTTTGCCTCCTGCAAGGCAACTTCCAGCTCTTTGATCTTGTCATCCCGATTCTGAAGAAAAAAATAAATAAGATGCTTTAACTAAGGAAATGGAGGGAAAAGAGCTGCAAGGAGGTACCTCCCCCAAGGTCCCTATAAAAATGTGTCACTCTTAAGTATCAGGGACGAACAACCAGACCCACACTTGTAGAGTTCAAACAAGTTATCTTATTGTTCTATGTGTATTCTGCGGACATCTCCCTATTCTGCTAGCTTTCGCTGGGAAAGGCTAGATAAAACTCAAAGGCATGGGATGATTAGACCTTGCTCTCTTGTGTTTAACAGACTGATTTCCCAGTTGAGCCCTCCTCCCAAATGATTGCTCTCCAAGATCAAGGCAAATTATCACACATGTAAGAATCTTCAATTAGCAAAGAATTTCCATTATAGAATCATGTATCTGCTTTCTTTGTTGTTAGGAATAGTCAGCATTTTATTTATTGACTGGGATTGTAAAATTGCCAAGTTGTCAAGCAGCTCAAGGCTATTTTACCAGCAGGTTCCTAACCTAACCCAGCAGAAAATAACCAAATAGCTACCAACTCTTAAAGGAACATCAGTTTTGGAGAAGAGATTGGGCCAAACTTGACATCCAAGTTTCACCTGGAGTCAGCTAAGCACTTAGAGTTGCAGCAGAGCTTTTTTCTAAGGAACTTCATGTGGCACAAGCCCACCAAAATTTAGACAATTTTAATGCCCACAAGCTTTGGAGTCAGAATGGAAGGAGGGAGGGAGGCAGACAGGCATCAATTACCAGAAGATTGATGGTAGGTCTCTCCACACCACACTACAAATATATTAAAGTTAAAAGAACATTTCTTCTATAAACTGCCACTTCTTTGTTTGTGGCAGATGATATAGTTCCTGTCTCCAGAAAACCCCAGTACATCATCTACCTCTTTTTCCTACCTCAATTTCCTCCAGATAGTAGTCTGTCAGTAACACCTTCAGATTATTCAGTTTGTCTTCATAAAGCTCCTCTAACAACTCCTTTTGGGAATCCATATGGTCACTACAGTAGACATAGAAGGAAAAAGATGACACTGTAAGATGGGTGGATAGAAAGCCATGGATCAATCAGAGGTTTCCTAGAAAGTACAGGTGGCCCCAAAAGTACCTGCTCCACTGATCTCTCTGTTGTAGGTGTGTCATCATCTCATTGCAGATTTCATCACGGAGACGCACCTCCAGCTGAAGCTTCTCCCGACGTTCCTTCAGCAGAAGCTGTTGCACAGCTTCAACTATATGCACAAGATCCTGGATTTTGGGATGGGAAAATACAAAGAACATGGTGATTCAGGTTCAATGGGGCAGCCATCAGAATGCATCACACCCCCAACCACCTGATTTAAAAGTAGTGATCAATGCTTAAATCAGATGCTCAAAAGCTGAAGGATTCTAAAGCCCCAGAGATGTCCAATTGAGTAGCTCTGAAAACTTCTCCATTCAATAAATAAGGAAAGATCAATCTCTTACCTCCTTATCATATGCAGCCACATCTATTTCATCTTCGCTGTCTTCATCAGATTCTGTTTCTTCATCCAAAACAGACACAGAGGCATTACTAGTTTGAATGCTGTGTTCCTTGACGAGTGAATGGATAGACAAAAGCCCCACCTTTGTAGGAACCTGGATAAGCTGTAAGAGACCAAATTATACTATCAAGTTAAAAAAACAATGGCACTCATTTCCTTCCACCTTATGCCAGGGCTACTCTGAGCAAAATATATTGTTTATGTTTTTGAAAAAGGCTTCCAGGACAAAGTGGCCCTGATGTTTACCCTCAGGAGGAAGCAACTTGTGAAAAAAACAAAACAAAAACCCACCACATAGAACACCATCTTAAAGCATCTGCATAAAGAATAGGTTGCTTGAAATTGTGGCTCTTTGGGTGATCATCTTCTATATACACATAGATTGTGTGCCTCCACATCGGCCCACACTGAAAATCTTCTAAAGCAGATTTTTGTTGGGAACTGCCACTATAGCCAAGCTGTCTCAGGAATTCTGGGAGTTGAAGTCCACAGGTTGTAAAAGGGCCACAGTTGCCCACCCCTGCACTATATATGCATATGAAAGATAGCTCTTTCCTTTTCCCTCAGTCCCTTGAGACCACTGAAGCAGCCCTAGAACTCCAATCTTACATGCAACAGTAATATAAGAGAAGGTTGACAGTAGGACTGCCCAGAGAACCACTGGAAAAACCAGTTATAAATAAGTAACTTTTTGGTCTTTTATATAGTCTCCCTCACACAATTAGTAGTCTCATTTATTCAGATACCCTATCACAGTAAAAAAATAAAGGGGAAAATAGTACATTCAAAGGAAGCAGCAGATCACAAGCTACCCAAGCCACAGGGAACGGATTAAAACCAAGTAGCAACCCTTCAAAAGTCCAGCAATGACAGGCTCAGAACGGAGTTATAGACGTTGTAGTATATGGAGTAGAATGTCCTTCAGTGCTCCCTGGAGTGGGCTTGTCACTATCAAGTCCACAGTTTAGTAGAACACTAGGGGGTTAATGGCATGAGAGAAGGTGTACAGTAGGACTTTTAGCCAGTCAACATTGAAGACTTTTGTTGCCACCGCTCCCTGGTTGGAAAGCAAAGGATGAAGCGCTGTACCTTTGCAACTGATAAGGGTGTAGCTAAAAATTTATTACTGGCCTCCCAAAGATCAGCATAAATTGCTCAAACGTAATTTGTTTGCTTCACAAAGTCCTTGTCATGAGTGATGGGTGAAACCAATGGGACCCACATGCTCTCCAGAGCAAGCAGAGTCCACAGGAAAGAACATCCAAATTTGTTCTAGTCTGTTGTGGCCCGCTAGGGGCCTGTGCAGATTGGGGCTGATCCTGACGACGAGGAGGGTGGTGTGGGGTCGGCCAGCAGCCTGTGCAGCCGGCGCTCGCGTCGGACAATGAGGAGGCTGAAGAGGATCTGGTGCCAGAGGCAGAGACTCAGCCAGGGCCTTCAGAACCTCCAGAGGCTCCTTCCAGTGGAGAGCGCGAAGTGGAGGAGCCTCTCCTCAATGCTCGAGCACGCAGGGCTGCCAAAAGGCAGGAGTGGCTACTCAGGAGGTCTACTCAAGAGTAAGGCTTGAGGATAATTGGCCACTCCCTTAGCATATTTAAGTCGCACGCCGTTAGTAAGTTTCTTGCTGAAACAATTCGTATTCTTATCAGAGTATTTTGGTTTATCATATCTTGTTTTCTGGGCTGGTTGCCAACCTTTGCCGGTCTTGTGTATTCTTGCTACTTAATAAATTTGATAAGGACCATTGGTGTGTGTCAATATCCTCGGAAATCTGGAGCTGGGGCAGAACATAGTCCCACAAGTACAGGGAGATGATGACTGCAGGAAAAAAAATTCTTGCTCCGTAACTTCTGTGTTGACAGCATAGGTAGGAGGAAGGACATTCTAGTAATTAGACTAGTAATTGGCCAGGTAGTCACAGTTAACAGTACTAATAATATTGCAGTGAACTATCCTATTCTATCCTATCTGTTTTCTATTCAGTAAAGAATTCAAAAACTACCCAAATGAACTCCAATATTCCTTTTTTTTACCTGGCTGGCAATGGCAGAGAACTTAGCCACATGGAGGGTCTCATCATATGATGAAGCACATGGGTTGATATTGACAATCATACAGGACTGCCCATGTCCTGTGAAAAAGCCTTGGAATACACGGGTTAGTTTGCTATCCCGGAAAGGCACCACATTCTGCTTTGACCTGTTTAAAGAGAGAGAGAAGAGGAGGATTTGTGCTCTGGAAATGCTAATACAAAATGTGAAGCCTACCCCCCACACATCCTCATCCTCATCTTAACCTAGGAAACTGTATACACGTTCATCAGTATCTTCAACCAGATTGGATTTAATACCAGAAGAGCCAGACAAAGCTACAGACTTATCAGTGAATGCTAAAAGTAGAAATTCATTTAACTTACTTGGTCTGATTGTGGCGCAAGATTGTGAGACATCGCCCCAGCGTGTGCAAGGAGGTATTGATGTTATTGGCTTCTTTCATACGGTCCCCTGTTCTCTGTTCTTTGCAGCGTTCTGAGCCAGCAAGGTCACACAGTGACAGCCTGGTGAAGAGAAAGAGGAGTATTTGATGCAGAGCCTGGTTTCCCACCTCTCAGTGTAGTTCCCCCACCACCACCCCAAATCAGGTTCTAACTTGAGGTTAGAAATTCTGGCAATCAGCATGAGAATCCATGACAAGGTCCAATCATAGTTTTGCTCTTTATTTCTGTAATTTTAGGAGCCACAGTGGCATAGTGATTAGAATGCAGTACTGCAGGCTACTTCTGCTGACTGCCGGCTGCCTGTAATTTGGCAGATCGGATCTCACCAGGTTCAAGGTTGACTCAGCCTTCCATCCTTCCAAGGTCCGTAAAATGAGGGCCCAGATTGTTGGGGGCAATAGGCTGACTCTGTAAAACCACTTAGAGAGGGCTGTAAAACCACTGGGAAGCGGTATACAAGTCTAAGTGCTATTGCTATTACTACACTGTTCAAAAAAATAAAGAGAACACAAGCAGAAGACATCTGAGATCTGAATAAATGAAATAGCCTTATTAAATACTTTGTTCGTTACATACAGCAGTTTTGTGTTCCCTTTAGTTATTTGAGTAGTGTATAAACTACTGTATGTAAAGAACAAAGTGTTTAATAAGGCTATTTCATTCATTCAGATCTCGGATGTCTTCTACTTGTGTTCCCTTTATTTTTTTGAGCAGTATATTTTAGGTTGCTTTCCTCCATACAGGAACAAGTCTTTTTCATTTCAGGTTAGAAACAAGACTGAACATTTTACAGCAACCCAAAGTCGTCATTCTGACAAACACATGTCAAAACTACACAGGGCAGCTTTCCCTGAGCATATTTGTCAAAACAAAGCTCTCTTTCCCATTCCCCTCAGACCTTCAGTAAGAAAGTTTCCCCTTACTCGCTGATCTTTGAGATCGTTTTACTGCTCCTTTCCTGAAGGTGTAGAATTCGGATGGAGAAGATGCTGTGGCTACAGAGAGCAAGAGAAGAACCATTTTTAGAAAATAAACCAGTTCAAATGATTAAGATCATTTATTCTCATATTTCCCAAACCTGGGCAAATTATATTTTTTGTACAGAGAACATACTTTACTAATCATTCAGAATCCCAACACTCCCTGTCACCAAAGTGAGGAATAGGACAGACCTGCGGCTAGAATTCTCATTCATGTGGGTGCTGGCAAAACTTTGATTTCTCCGGCCTAATTTCAGCAGTTTCCAGGCCTCTTCAGCATTTTGCACATTGACCCAGTTCAGGTCTACAAAACAAAGATGAGTCAGGGAACTGAAATAGCAGGAATTAGACTCTGAATTTATCTAGGAATCACCAGGGAAAACATCACACCTCAATAAGGGGACTGTGTCTTCTTACACTGCTTTAAGCCACTCAAAATATGGCTTATTAGATGACTGATCAGCTGGATTAATTATTCTACATGTTTAGTCCAATTTATATACTGGGTGAGAAGGCTGGGCTGTACCTTTAACATATGTATTTCCAGTATGATCCTCACACAGCCGCAGTGGGGGCCTCTTGCGGTTTGGGGCAGATGCAGGGGTCTCCAGCAAGTCATAAATCAACTCATTGTAGATCTCAAAGAAGGAGACCCAGATAGAAAATTGCACATCCTCTTGAGTCACAAATGAAACATAATCTTGTGGGTCAATCTTGTCAGTTCCTATCTCTATCAATGAAAGCAAAACAAAAAAAGTTATCAGTGATTGTAGCAATTCGTAGCAGACCCAATTAACACGGACTTTCTGAAAGTAAAACCAAAGTGCATAGTGATTGTTCCCAATAATCCCAGCTTCCATACATTCACTAATGTTTCCTTACTCTTAAAGCAGAAAACAATGTTTTCTTTTCAAACTAAGTTTCTCATATATTTCTGAGCGCCAAGTGAAATTTTAGTTTCATTTTACATTGCAGGTAGTCGACTTACAATAGTTCATTCAGTGACCGGTCAGTTACAATGGCACTGAAAAAAGTGACATATGATCATTTTTCACATTTACGACCTTTGTAGCATCCCCATGATCATGGCATTAAAATTCAGATGCTTGGCAGTGTCCCAAGGACATAACTCTAACCCTAGGCAACATTCTGACAAGCTAAATCAATGGGGAAGCCAGATTCACTTAACAACTGTTACTAACTTACTAACTGCGGTGACTTACTTCTCAACTGTAGCAAGAAAGGTTGTAAAATGGGGCAAAGTTCACTTAACAAACATCTCACTTAACAACATAAATTTTGGGCTCAATTGTGGTCCTAAGTTGAAGACTACCTGTATACCTTCTACTTTACAAAGCTTACACAGTTAGCAACAAGAGATGTTTCATTGTCCAGTAATTGTTAAACCAGAAGATATTTGAAGGGGCAGTTTAAATTGCACTACAGAAAAACCAACAATTGCATAATCCCAGTCCTTTTCTGTGAAATGTAATTTAAACATATTCTGATCCCCACCTTTGGTTAAGGCTGTTTTACAATAGGCTTATGGATATTCTTCTGATTCAAATGCTTCCCTTGAATTCAATTTTTTCATAATGTCTTTTTACTGCATTTCTTACTGCTGAAGACTTTATTATTCTTAGTTTTGAGGTGCCTATAGTGCTTAGCTTTTCAATTCTACAGAAAATAAAATTGCCCCAGAACCAAGGTTCAGGACAGTGCGTACCTTCAAGCTGGCTCCAGTTTGTCTGGTTTGTCGACTGGCAAACAGAGGAGAGTCCAATGCCACTGTCAATACTGCCACTTGTGGGTGCTTGTGATTGGGATCCTGTTCTGTGACTTTTGCGCAAAGAACTACAGAGCACCTCCTGCCAATCCAAAAGGAAGAATTATAGCAGGGATTTTGACCAGCTCATCCTCTTCCTTATCCTTAAGGGCTTTGAGGCACTTACCTCCTTTGTCCCACCATAGATCAGAGCCTGCTTCTTGGCTTCCTCTTGATGACTCTGTTTGCTGTCCAGCCAATTTACTATGTTTGATAGGAAAGGTTTCAGGTCTGTGGCTCGGTACAACCGTGTCCCAATACTGTTGAATATGATGGCTAGGGAACGGGGCAGGATCCCTCTGTTAGTACCATCTCCTGCAAGCCAAGGTCAAAGAAGCAAATAGTCAAGACAAAGGACCTCTATTAAGCAGAGGTTATCTGGAACATTATACACCAAGCACTGCTTACCTTGGATTGTATAAGTCTTCCCTGAATTCGTGACTCCATAGGTATAAACAAGCCAGTTCTGCCCATTGAGGACATCCTTCACCACTTCCTTCATTGTTGCGTCAAAGAATGCTTTCTGGCCTATCTCTGGTCCAAAGATCTGAACATCAAATACTAAGGATTAATATCATCATACAGAGTACTATTACTCTAGATGTATGATTAATTACATCAAATTATCAGGAATTAATCCTTGCTTCTCCATGAGTTCTCTAATCTCCTTGCAGGAATCCTGCCAAAAGAGTTTCAAACACCACAATCTCTATTGGTTTCAGTAGAGGTCCAAGAAGAATGAGCACCATCACATTAAATGAAAAAAAAACATACCTGGCTGAAGGTGAATTTGTGCACTGCCTGGCCAATTCCTCGCTCAGTGTTTCTCATTGTAAAGGAATCTCTGGGTGCTTTGAGAAGAAGGGCATCAGCATTTTCGATGCAGACACAGCCCTAAGAAGTATAGTTAGCATTCAGTATCTAAAACCATCTGCCATAGCAGCAAACCACCTTTCAGCGGGCATTCTTAATTTTAAATATTTATATCCAGCCAATCTATCAAAGTCACTTTTTTCAGTGCTGTTGTTTGAACTAAGTTGTAAGTTGAGGGCTATCTGTATTCTAGCACCCCTGTGCTCTTTTGCATATAAAACTCTGCAAACCAATTTCAAGTGAGCCCAATAGGGAAGCAAAGAAATTGGCCTATCAAAGTTCTCCTATACTAATTGATGGATCCTACTCTGTTTCAGGTACTCACCTGATCCTCATGCTTCTCGATTTCTGTGGGCTTCAGTGGGCGCACTCTTGCATACACCTTCACCTTTCCATTGTCTCTGAAAACAGTCTATAGAAGTTACAGATTGTTATTCCATTACCAGTCTGGCAAAACAGAACTAGTATCAATCTGATTTACACACTAACATTCTACCATATTAAAAATAGAAGCCAACAACCCTAACCCTTCCTCCTCTCCCCAGCAACCCAAGGATACTATAGTCCTGTATTGTAAACTGGAACAAGATAAACATGGAGAGGCTGCACAGCAGTTATAGGAAATAATTCAGAAGCAAGAAGAAATTAGGGAGCATAAAAGTTGTTAGATTTAAAATAGGGATGCATTGCAAAAGGAATTCAGCTGCTCAGGGCTTGAAAAGGCCTTGGGCATAGCCACAAATTTGCTGTAAAACTTGCTCCCAAACTGATGTTTAATGTAACTGAAAGCATAAGTTGTTACAAGAATTACATGTGGATGTTACCATATTTACCACATTTCATTTTAATTAAATACATGTAAATCAAATGCAATGGAGTACTCATCATTGCCCTGGTTACTTTATAGAGTATGGCTCTAGCACAAGAAGCCAGCCCACCCACCCCCATTGCCTTCTCCTCCACTTTGAATCTAAGATGAAGGAAAAACCCCTCAGTTTGTAGAGTTGTGGAGCATGTTAAATCAGTTCTATTTAGATCACATGTCTGGTGAGAAGACAGATGAAAGGGGAGGGTGTACTTCCTTATTCTTCCCATGTTACATGAATGTATGATCTGACTGTCTGAATAAAGCCATATAGTAAGTTGCTAGTTCTAAGAAATAATGAGCATTGGGCAAAACCAAACATCGCGAATTGATCCAAAACTAATTCTTTAACCATGTCTAATAGAAACATTAGAGACTATCAAAAAAGTAAACCAAAAATCATATTGCACAAACTATACTAGGCTACTAGGCAAGAGAGAAATTTGTGTCTCTTTATTTTCACATTATCAGAAATTCTAGAAACAAAGGTCTTCCCACATGGGAAAGCTTGGCCTGCTTTACTAATGGCTCAATGCCATTCAGGTTCATCAACCTGAAGCTTTCTGAAAGCATGCAAATAGGATTGGAAGTCTACGAATCTATTATAGCAATATTAAATTCCTGATAATCTTACAGCAGACCAGCAGAGCTGAATTTGGAATTCTTGCCCTGATCCCAGGGGACTAACAATAAAAATTAAGTTGTTTCAGCATTTGATAGAGAGGAGACCCCCAGCCCAGCCTCTAACTCCTCTTCATATCTCCTGTCCTCCTTAATGTTACCTGCTCTTGATCTGCAGAGATGGCAGAGAAATCTGGCAAAAGAGCTCGCCGCAGTCCACATTCTGCTGCGGTGGATTCCAGGACAGGAGAGATACCAGCTTCTTCATCAGAAAACAATCCAACCGGGGAGGCAATTCCCTGGGCCATGACAGCCAAGTGCTCTTCCTGTAAGAGCAGCAAAAGGAAGCATAGGCATTCCTGCAGGCTCTTGACTATTTCTAAACACAGCTTAGAATAGATAGAACTACTGGAAGAAAATGGCTGCACTGCATACCAACCAGCAGCAGGTCCAGGCAGGCCTCACAAAAGAGAGCTTCACCACAGAGAATTGAGCTCTATTAGCAGCTTGCCCCTTTCCCCTCACGGTAGCATATAATGGATGATTTAGGGATTTAGTACGCTCACACACACACCCCAAAGAGGCGCAGTTATTTTCCTGGACAACAGATCTTCATCCAGGACCAGGCTCCTGTAGTATCAGAGGTAGGCTCAAACCTATGGATTTTACTACCTAGCCTGCAATATGTGAACGAGAAACCTTTTTTTAAATTAAGGCGTCTATATTGGTGTAGGAATATTTAATCAGTCGCGCTCACTCCTTTAATTCCGAAGGGCTTAATAAAATCCGCGAAGCCCACCTGGAGACCGTTACTGAAATCAAGAGGCCGCGTGGCTCCTCGTCAGTCGGGCGCTGGGAGCACCCAACCCTGGGACTTCCTCCAGCATAAGCGACGAGATGTGGTCCAAATGGGAGTCTTACCTAGTGCTTTCAGTTCCACCTTCCTGCTCTGTGCCGCTCCGCCGCCGCCTGCTCGATGAGCCACTTATATTTTCTTTTCCGACCTGTTTCAAACCTCGCGGCCAATCCGCTCAACCAATCAAAGAACGGGATACCCAGGAGCCAATCGCTACCCGGGGCTCACCTACAGAAGAGCCAATAATGTCAGGAGTTGCTTTCCCCTTCACGTGGAGGCTCTTTTTGTACTGGCTGGTGAGGGGGGGGGTGTTGTGCGGCGGAGATTGCTTTATTTCGATCATGGGTTAAAGCGAGTGGCGTTTTTGCAATCAAAATAGATGCGATTGTCGCACGCCCACACGGTAGCGTTCTACAGCCCACCATCTAATTCAGTGAATTTTCAAAACTTGGCAACTTTAATACCTGTGGCTTTTTTTTCCCCAATACACTTTATTAAGCTTTTATTACATTAAAAAAATAAAAAAATATTTCGCTCAACAACAGCTGTTTGTGGTGTTTTTCTTGTGACGATAATTCGTGCATCATTTACAAAAATTAAATTGTGCGTATTTACATTCTTATTTTATCTATTACTAAAAGTCTAAAAGAGGCATCGATATTTTACAACGTGTGGGAACAGTGGTATAACTGGATAGAACGGAGATAGATTAAAGATCGATAGTTATTAAGTATAAATACCTGTGGCTTTTTAACTTGCAAATGCTGGCTGGGGAATTCTAGGAATTGAAGTCCACGCATCTTAAAAGTTGCCAAGTTTGTAAACCACAGTTTTAATTGTTCACGCTCCTGAAATTGCATTCTGGAAGCCATGTTGCTTCTGGGTCCACCAAATTTGGAAGCACGATCCTGGTCTTGCTCTCAGCAAAGCAATATTGGGGCAAGGACGAGGTTTATATTTTAATACAGAAGGGTCTTAACATGAACATAAGATTGAAACCAGAGGTTTTCCTTTTAGGATTACTGGACAAGGAACTTGAAAAAAAATAGGAATTTTGTTACTGTGTATGTTAGTTGCAGCGAGGATTCTTTATGCATAAAAATGGAAAGACTATCGATTCCCATGATAGAAGAATGGATGAAAAAAGTGATGGAGATAGCAGAGGGCAAAATTAACTGTTTTAATGGAAACCGCTTCTAGGCAAGACAGAAAAAAAGTTGAAATCTCGATTTTGAGATTTGCTGATTAGTTTGTTGCTATAAAAAAATGGCTAGTGTTTGGTGCTCTCTGAGCTTGGTTGTTTTCTTCCAGATGTTTCATTACCTAACATAATCAGTGTTAGGTGTGGGGTTTGCTCTCATTTTATATACTAGTGGCTTATCCTGTCAGTGTTGGTAGGAGTGATCTAGGTCAGCGGTCACCAACTGGTGGTCCATGAGAAAATTTTAGTGATCCACAGAAAAATTATTTTTTATATTGCACTAAATCAGGGGTCCTCAAGCTACAGTCCCTGGGCCGGATATGTACAATGAACGTTTGTGTTGGTTGGGGTCTTTTTGTGTGGGTCGAGGGTGTGTGCAGAAATTCCAACTTGGGGTCTGCTTCAGCCTCCTGGTGTAGGGCTTTTGGCAAAGGCTGGAGGGAAGTGCCGCTGGTGGCAAAGAACTGGAGGGCCTTGTTCCAATGCGACTGCATCATGGCCCGGAACTGTTCTGCCCCAGCTACGGATCCCAAAGAACGCAGCACACACAAACTCCGAATAAAACTCCGTTTACTATAAAACGCAGTCTTTTGCAAATGCAGGCTGTTAATAAAATGTTCTTAACAACATGCCAGAAATTCCACAGATAAGATAAGAGTCTTACTAGAGTTGGCAGAAAGCCCAGAAGCACTGTTTGCAGAGAAAATCCAAACTCAATGATCAGCGAACGAACGTTGTTTCCTGCAGCTTTTTACAAGCTGTGTGCACTCTTAAATAGGCTACGGGAGTGGCCAATTAGCCCCAAGCCTTACTCTCGAGGAGACCTCCTCCTGAGGAACCACTTCTGCCTTTTGCCAGCTTTGTGTGCTTGTGCATTGAGAAGAGGCTCATCCACTTCATCCTCTGCACTTAAAGGAGCCTCTGGAGGTTCTGAAGGCCCTGGCTGAATCCCTGCCTCTGGCACCACATCTTCTTCAGCCTCCTCGTGTCCGACTCAAGCGCCGGCTGCACAGGCTGCTGGCGTGACACCACACCAGCCTCCTCGTCATCGGGATCAGCAACAATCCACGCAGGCCGCTGGCGGGCCACAACAGGAACTGGCTGACCATCTCAGCTCACTGAGCCTCCAGGCCTTACACTCCTGCAGGTCTTCCCTCTGCTTGGAAAGCCTATGCTTGTAGTCCTCAGTGAGGTGCTTTTGCTGAGCCTCCTCGGTCAGATCCAATTTGAACTGAGACAGCTGTTTGCCCAACTCTTTCTTGTGGTGGCTGCTTAGCTCTAACAACTGCTTCCTGTTGGGGCCCTAAGGAGCCCGGGTGGGGAGGCGAGGAGTGGCTGGCAGGGGAGGAATGAGTAAAGGCTGGCGAGGCACCCCTTGACATGAGTGACATCAAATTGGTCAAACAATTACATTAAATATCTTATCTGGAAACACCACTCCTGAGAGATGTCATGGCAGGAGAAAAAAGTAGAAACTTTTGAACAATCCACTTTTCTCCATTTTTTCAAATAGCTTTCTTTACTTTTTTCAGAGAAAAATTTGTGGAAACACGGGTTCTTTTCCTTAATTCATATAACCATGGATGTCACAGAAAGGAAGAATCCAGACTGTTCGCTAAGCCACTGCTCTTGTATAAGGATACTTTCATACTATTCAAATCTTCCTAACTCATTCCTAACTCATTCATATTTCAGATTTTCATTAAATTGGAAGAGTTTTAATTCGATAAAAATAACTATCCTTTTTGAAAATGTACTTTTAAAATATGCTTTGGAAAAATAAAATGTTCTGCAATTGTCAAAAGGTCCAGAGTCACTTTGCAGAGTGACTGGCTGACATATAAATTTAATAAATTAATGTTTTATTGGAATAAGTTTTTGTAGCTCCTTCTGAGTACAAGCTATCAAAAAGTTTGATATATTACAGCAGCAAAGTTTCACTTATGCTATGGCCTACAGCTCATCTTCATTTTTTATTTCCCAAATTTTATTTACTGGTAAGATTCTGAGCCAGAGATAATAATGATTTAAAAGCAAGCAGTAAAAGAAACACAATATAGTACTTTTATTATTGTCTAAGAAACCAATGAATCTCCAGATATTAAACAAGTCTCCCAATGAACAGAATAGGATACACATTCTATCATGAAGATTCTTAAGAAAAGAAAGTGAGATGTCAGGCAGTGCTAAATTAGTAAACAAACAATTTTTTCCTTAGAACAAGACTTCAGGAAACAAGGTTGAATTCTTAACTTCTAAACATGCACCTGCCCTTTTCATGTCTTCATCAGCACCTGCAGAAGAGAAAGAAAAGTAAAATTTTCCATGTTTCGAAGGAATTATAGTGTCCCAGAACAGTTTCAAGCTCTGCTATGAAAACATCATTTGTGTACTATGTGAAGATCCACTGAGAATAAAAGTGATATCTTAAAAACAGGTATATTTGTTATAGAAAAAGTTAAGAAAGGAAAAGGCTTCCAGGTGGAGATAAATGCCAGTTCTTGACGTATGACTACAATTGAGTCAAAAAATTCTGTTGCTAAGCAAGATAGTTGTGAATTTTGCCCCGTTTTATGACCTTTCTTGCTGTTGTTAAGTGAATCAATGCAGTTGTTAACTTAGTAACATGGTGGTTGAGTAAATCTGGCTTCCCCATTGACTTTGCTTGTCAGAAGGGCGCAAAAGGGGATCACATAAACTCATGACAGCGGAACCGTCATAAATGCATGCCAGTTGCCAAGTGTCTGAATTTTGATCACCTTACCACAGGAATGCTGCAACAGTTGTAATTGTGAAAGCAGTCTTTCAGTGCCATTGTACCTTCAAACAGTCACTAAACAAATGGTTATAAGAGAAGAACTATATGTATATTTGGGAGACACAAGCAGGGTTACTGTTGCTTGTAGGGCGGATGATTGTCATAGCACCATCTTTTGCTTTCCAGGCATGAGAACCTAGCAGAGGAATAAGGAATGTGATTTCTCCTGTTCAGAGATGAACATCTTACCTTCTCACAAATCCTCGCATTTCGTCGGAGCACAGGAGTGCCTCGCCCAACATCTGGAGTTGCTCCAGCACTTCCTGCTGCATCTCCACAGCAATGCGATGGATGTGGTGGTTGGAGTTATTGTACATGATGGCATTCTGAAACATCAGCATGAGATCACGTTGGAACTGGACCATGTGCTGAATCTGGCCTTTGGACAGGTTTCTCTTTATGGAGGAAAGATCCATTGGTCTTCAGAAAGGTAGGAAAAAGCACAGGGTTCAGCTTTGTGTAATAACTTATAGAGTTTGCAAAATAAAAAGGATGCTTTCCAGATCCTTTTCCATTATCAATATCCCAGAACTACTGAGAAATCAAATTAAAATTAGACTAATAAAAGCAAGTAGATATGAAACTGTTATTTGCGTTTACAAGATATTAAAGGTAGAACAGAAAACTAGGTTTTCGATAGTACTCAACCTATGATAAAGTAATAGCAATTCTAAATACATTCCCTTAATATTGTTATTTAATACTGGTATTTATGGTATGCACTTTCAAGCATGCCTAGGATCAGTTTATGATGATACTGTATTTCAGAGAAAATAATGCTGAAGCAAAAACCAATATTATAGCACCTTCAAGGCTACATCTATCACACTTTGGGGGTAAGCTACATTGTACAAGTGTAGAAAAGGAAATACTAAGCCAAAGAAATTAAAAGCTTGACAAGAAAAAAATAGCCAATATTTTAAGACTGATAAATACATTATAGCATAATTTTTTGTGGATTACAATCCTTTCATCAGCTTCATGAAGTGTCATTTTGAGAGAAAGGAATGCATGTGGAGGGATATA